AAACTTCCAACAATCTCATTAATGTCATAAATCTTTTTTAAGCACTCTGTTTTTGTTTTCGAACTGTATAAAATCCACACACTGAATTCAACACTGAATTAACAACAATATTCTTTCAGGCCAGCAATAACCAAAGAGAAAAAACATAATACAAAAAGATCCAGCCGGGTGCAGTGGCTCACGCCTGTTATCCCAGCACTTTGGGAGGCTGAGGTGAGCAGATCATCTGAGGTCGGGAGTTCACGACCAGCCTGGCCAAAATGGCGAAACCCCGTCTCTACTAAAACATACAAAAATTAGCCAGGCGTGGTGGCAGGTGTCTGTAATCCCAGCTACTCGGGAGGCTGAGGCAGGGAGAACTGCTTGAATTTGGGAGGCGGAGGTTGCAGTGAGCCCAAATCGCTTTACTGCACTTCAGCCTGGGCAACAGAGCAAGACTCCATCTCAAAAAAAAAAAAAAAAGAAAGATCCATTCATAAAAGCAACAAAAACTAGACAATACTTAGGAATAAATCTAACAGATAATATGCAAAATCTTTATGGCAGTTACAAAACATCACTAAAGTTCATAAAGTAAAACATGAATAACTATAAAGATACATTTTCATGAATGAAAACTTTTTATCAAGATACCACTTAAATACAATGTATTTCAAAACTCCAAAAACACTTTTCAAGAAACTCAACAATACTACAAAAACTCATATTAAAGAGTAAAGGTCTAAGAATACAACAAATAAAATAAAACCTGTCTTACCAGATATCAAGAGTGATGTTAAAGCAATATCAATTAAATAATGTGTTGTTATAAGCACAGGAGTAAACATAAATCAGTGTAATAGACTAAAGAGCTGAGAACAGGCCTATGTATATATGAAGCTTAATACATACAAGTGATATTGCAGATCAGTGGGGAAAGGATGGACTATTCTAAACATGATATTGGGGCAACTGGTTATTCACTGAATTAAAAAATAATAATTAGATACAAGTTCATACCATACATAAAATGAATTCCAGGTGGATTAAAAACCTAAATATGCGCCAGGCATGGTGACTCACGCTTGTAATCCCAGCACTTTGGGAAGCCAAGGCAGGTGGAACACTTGAGGTCAGGAATTCAAGACCAGCTTGGCCAACACAGTGAAACCTCATCTCTGCTAAAGATACAAAAAATTAGCCTAGCATGATGGTATGTGCTGGTAGTCCCATCTGTTCAGAAGGCTAAGTGAGAGGATCACCTGAGCCTGGAAGTCAAGGCTGCAATGAGTTGTAACTGCACCACTAAACTCCAGCCTAGGCAACAGAGTGAGACACTATATCAAAAAAAAAAAAAAAAAAAAAAAAAAAAGGCTAGGCATGGTGGCTCATGCTTGTAATCCCAGCACTTTGGGGGGCCAAGTGGGGGGTAGATCACAAGGTCAGGAGTTCAAGACCAGCCTGGCCAACACAGTGAAACCCCATCTCTACTAAAAATACAAAAATTAGCTGGTATGGTGGCAGGCGTCTGTAATCCCAGTTACTGGGGAGGCTGAGGCAGAATTGCTTGAACCTGGGAGGCAGACGTTGCAGTGAGCTGAGATCGTGAGTGAGTGCAGTGAGCCACTGCACTCCAGACTGGGCAACAGAGCAAGACTCTGTCCCAAACAAACAAACAAAAAGAACAGAAAAAAATACCAGAGTATAATGCATGTATTAAGGTTAAATACTACTTCATAAAATTTGTATTTCAGTTAAATGTATATAGGTCAGGTATGGTGACTCATGCCTGTAACCCCAGTATTTTGGGAGGCCAAGGAGGATCACCTGAGCCCAGGAATTCGAGACTAGCCTTGGCAACATAGTGAGACCTCATCTCTACTAAAAATTTAAAAATTAATCAGGCATGGTGGCACGTGCCTGTGGTCCCAGTTGAAGCAGGAGGACTGCTTAAGCCAAGGGAGGTCAAAGCTGCGATGAGCTGTGTTCCCACCACCGCACTCCAACCTGAGCAACAGAGTGAGACCTTGTCTCAAAAAATAAAAATAGGCCAGGCGCAGTGGCTCTGGCCTGTGGTCCCAGCACTTTGGGAGGCCGAGTTGGGTGGATCGCCTGAGGTCAGGAGTTCAAGACCAGCCTTGGCCAACATGGTGAAACCCTGGCTCTACTAAAAATTTAAAAAAAAAATAGGCATGGTGGCGCACACCTGTAATCCCACATACTCAGGAGGCTGAGGCGCAAGAATCACTTGAACCTGGGAAGCGGAGGTTGCAGTGAGCGAAGATCACACCTCTGCACTACAGCCTGGGCAACAAAGTGAGATGCTGTCTCAACACCGTTTCAAAAAAATAATAATAAAACCAAAATAAAAATAAATTTTTATGTACATATGGGTGAGTACCAAACTGGATTTAAAATACATTTCTTACTGTAGGTTGTGGTCAAAAGCCACTGCTCAAGTAAAAGTCTGTGTATGTGCACAAAGAGACATTCACAGCAGCACTGTGTCTCAGGTGAAAAACTGGAATTTAAGCATCCATTTAAAATTTTTAAAAATACAATAAAAATAAAAAATAAGTAAACGGTCCAGGAGCAGTGGCTCACTCCTGTAATCCCAGCACTTTGGGAGGCCAAGGTGGGTGGATCACCTGAGGTCACATATTTGAGACCAGTCTGGCTAACATGGTGAAACCCCGTCTCTACTAAAAATACATAAATTAGCCAGGCAAGGTGGTGGGCACCTGTAATCTCAGCTACTAGGGAGGCTGAGGCAGGAGAATTGCTTGAACCCAGGAGGTGGATGTTGCAATGAGCCAAGACTGTGCCACCACACTCCAGCCTGGGTGACAGAGCTAGATTCCATCATAAATAAATAAATAAACAAACAAACAAATAAACAAATGCCCATTAGTAAGGGACTAAACAAACTGTGGTATATTCATACAATAAAACTCTATACAGAAGTTAAGATGTAGTCCCAGCTACATGGAGGGCTAAGGCAGGAGGATCACTTGAGCCCAGGAGTTGGAGGCCACAGTGAACTATGATTGTGCCATTACACTCCAGCTTGAGCAATAGAGTAAGACCCTATCTCAGGGGTCAGGGGGGTGAGTGCGGAGTTAAGTATGGGTAAATCACAAAAATATACTGAATATAAAAAACAAAGACACAGGAAAAAAGCAAGCTGTATGATACTACTTACATAATATATACATACACACAGTATATAATATACACACACACACACATATATATACTAAAACCAAAAAAGGAACTAATTATAGATAATACAAACAGCCCAAAAACAGGCCAGGCTTGGTGGCTCACATCTGTAATCCCAGCACTTTGGGAGGCCAAGGTGGGCAAATCATCTGAGGTCAGGAGTTGCAGACCAGCCTGGCCAACATGGTGAAACCCTGTCTTTACTAAAAATACAAAAAATTGGCCGGGCGTCGTGGTGCGCGCCTGTAATCTCAGCTACTCAGGAAGATGAGGCAAGAGAATTGCTTGAACCCAGGAGGCGAAGGCTGCAGTGAGCCGAGATCACACCACTGCACTCCAGCCTGAATGAAAGAGCAAGACTCGTCTCGAACAACAACAAAAAAAATAGCCCAAAAACAACTGTGTTAAAAGTGTACCTAACTACACTTTCAATAATAAAAAAAATTATTTTTTCTTTTTTTCGAGATGGAGTCTCGCTCAGTCACCTAGGCTAGAGTGCAGTGGCATGATCTTGGTGCACTGCAGCCTCCACCTCCCAGGTTCAAGTGATTCTCCTGCTTCAGCCTCCCAAGTAGCTAGGACTACATGCGTGCGCCATCATGCCCGGCTAACTTTTATATTTTTAGTAAAGACAGGGTTTCACTATGTTGGCCAGGCTGGTCTTGAACTCCTGACCTCATGATTCGCCCACCTCAGCCTCCCAAAGTGCTGAGATTACAGGCGTGAGCCACTATGCCCGGCCAAGTGTACCTAATTCTAATAGCAAAGACAGTTTTCTGCACCAACTGCTTCCATTCCTCTCTTCTCCTGTCTTATCTTCCTACACCTGAAGAGCTGGTCAATCTATTTTGAAAGAATCTCAAAAAGGGTTAAACTCTTCCTTCTTTAACTCAAAAAAGGAACCAGCAAGGCATGATGGCACACATCTGCAATACCAGCTACTCGGCAGGCATAGGCATGAGAAATGCTTGAACCTGAGAGGCAGAGGTTTCAGTGAGCCAATATCTGTCTGGTGACAGAGCGAGACTCCGTCTCAAAAAAAAAAAAAAAAAAAACCCCTTAGAGAGGTGTAGGTTCTGAAAACACCCCTCACACTGAGCACCAACAAATGACCAAATTCTAGGATGCCCTCAACCACAACAATCACTTCACAGTCTATAAGGTCTTTCCCTAAATATTCCATCATTTGATTCTCAGAATAACCCTATGAGGTCAATATTACCAATACCCACATTTATAGATAAGCCAATGCACAAAGCAGCTAATTACCAGCCAGAGGTCACAAGTCAATGACACAGTTGGGACTATAATGCCTCAGCTTCTGAACCTAATCACCCTAACAGTGTGCCCTTATGTGATGACTCTATTTCAACATACAGTCATCATGCCCAGAAAACAGGATGGGGTGTTCACAACACATAAGCTGCTCCAATCAAACCCCTTTTTCTTCACTATTCCATCCCTGATCTTTCTCTTCTCTTTTTTCAGACAGGCAGCCAAGAGCAAGAGAGCTGCCACTATTAACCCTTCCCTTCCCTGTGGCCATTCATGCTTCTTTTTCCCAGAACTCTTTCAGATGAACAGGCAAAAGGGGGAAACAAATATGAACAGGAGATTACAGGACAGTCACCCTGACACCAGGATCCCTATATCAAAGAGAAAAGACTGAAGTTTCCTCCCATCTTCCAAGAGTCAGGGAGTAGAAAAACACCACAAAAAAAGCCTAAGCTACCACTCTATCAGTGCTGGCAAAAATCCTTTACTGAAGGGCTTTAATTAACAGAAAAATGTAAAAGTACCAGTTTTTTAAACGGTCCCGGGCTTCCAACTGGGCTCCCACTTCAAAGCTGATTCCTCGTCTGTTAGGTGGATGCTTTGTCATTTTCAGTCATCAACGGGGCTGCCTTTATTCTCCTGAAAAAGCCAATTAAATATTTATGAAACTTAGGCAAAGTCTGCCCAGAGTGTAGCATCATTCACTACACATAAAAACCAAACAGACATTATTCAAAACACAAAGCTCCATGAAACCCTGTTGGTGCCCTCATTCTAACACAGGTGTGCCTTCCACTGGTTCCTACTCCTCCATCGTGCAGCTTCCTGTAGTTTCCGGAACTGAGAAGACCCTCCCTCAACACTGCTTACCAAAGACTCACCTACAAGGGCCACCCCTCAGAACTACAAAAAAACAACTGCTTTCGCAGTTAAATTCAGTCATCTGCTGATGCATTATTCAACAAATATTTGCTCAGTGACTATTTAAGAAACAGTCAAGACCAAAAGAGACACAGTTCCTGCCCTCAAGAACCCTTCAGTCTACCAGGGAAACACAAAAATTTAGCCAGTAAACTGATGAATAAAATAACTGCAAACTGTAATTGCAATGAAATTTAAGAGTTACAAAGGAAGCAAACAAACGCCAGGCACAGTAATGTATGCCTATAGTCCCAGCTACTTGCAAGGCAGAGCCAGGTTGTTTCTTTGAGCCCGGGAGTTCGAGACCAGCCTGGGAAACACAGCAAACCTTCGCCTCTTAAAAACAAAAAAATTAAAAACAAAGGAAGCAAACAAAAGCTGAGATACTAATACTTGGTCCTACTTTTGGAAGGCTGTACAAGGTCTGTTTATATTTTCTTTTCTTTTTTTTTTTTTGAGATGGAGTCATACTCTGTCACCCAGGCTGAATGTGGTGGCGCCATGTGGTGGCTCACTGCATCCTCTGCCTCCCAGGTTCAAACAATTCTGGAGCCTTGGCTTCCTGAGTAGCTGGGACTACAGGTGCATGCCACCCCCCACCCAGCTTATTTTTGTATTTTTAGCAGAGATGGGGTTTCACCATGTTGGCCAGGCTGATCTCAAACACCTGACCTCAAGTGATCCGCCCACATAAGCCTCCCAAAGTGATGGTATTACAGGCATGAGCCACTGTGCCCGGAATTGTTTATACTTTCTTTGATCTATGTATATTTCCACTTCTTTTTTTGTTTATTGGTTTGTTTTTTTGAGAAGGAGTCTCGCTCTTGTCGCCCAGGCTAGAGTGCAATGGCACGATTTCGGCTCACTGCAACCTCCACTTCTCGGGTTTAAGTGATTCTCCTGCCTCAGCCTCCCAAGTAGCTGGGATTACAGGCACCTGCCACCATGCCCAGCTATATTTCCTACTTCTTGAGTCCCTTCTGATCATTTGTATTTTCCTATAAGTTTTACCCAGATTTTCTTTATTATAAAACAATTAAACAGTACAAAATATTATCGTTTAATTCCTTTAATTGCCTTTGAATCTGAAGTCACAATTTGAATCTCTCCTTTCTCAATCCTGTCTTGTGTACTTGTGCTCTAAAGAATAAAATGTATATTTATGATCAGAGAACCAAACAGTAAAGCCAATTTCCTTTTGAGGGGAAAAACAGTGTACTGGATTAGGCTATTTACAGGAAAAGTGGCCCCCATAAAAGAACACTTCTGGCCAGGTGCGGTGGTTCAAGCCTGTAATCCCAACACTTTGGGAGCCCGAGGCGGGCGGATCACGGGGTCAGGAGTTCGAGACCAGCCTGGCCAACATAGTGAAACCCCATCTCTACTAAAAATACAAAATTAGCCAGGTGCGGTGGTGGGTGCCTGTAATTCCAGCTACTTGGGAGGCTGAGGCAGGAGAATAGCTTGAACCCGGGAGGCAGAGGTTGGAGTGAGCTGAGATCACGCCACTGTACTCCAGCCTAGGTGACAGAGCAAGACTCCGTCTCGAAAAAGAAAAAAAAAGAAAGAACACTTCTTGGCATCACTGAGGTAATTAATCTACTAATCTGCAGAGTCCTGAATGCTATCAGAGGAGCTAGTAGTGGTTCTGATGGACATGCAGCCACTCTGAGCTCTAAGGGCACTTGAACAGACCACCTCTCTACAGCAGACTAACTCCAGCCTAACTCCTTCCTCCCACTAAACTCTGGACTTTTTAAAAATTTTTTTAGACAGGGTCGCATTCTGTTGTCCAGGCTGGAATGCAGTGGCGCTATCATAGCTCACTATAGCCTCAAACTCCTGGGCTCATGCGATACTCCTGCCTCAGCCTCCCAAGTAGCTAGAATCAAAAGTATGCATCAGCACACCCAGGTTTTTTTTTTTTTTGGTTTTTTTTTTTTGCAGAGACAGCATCTACGTTACCCAGGCTAGTCTCAAACTCCTGGGTTCAAGCAATCCTCCTGCCTGGGCCTCCCAAAGTACTGGGATTACAGGATTATAGGCACAAGCCACTGCATCCAGCCCGATACATTGGCTTTTGACAGCCCACACTGCCCAAGCAATGCCAGAGCACTGCCACAGCAATGCCTGCCTCCTACCAGGAACATTTTCTTTGCAATAAATGAATATGGAAAAAAATCACAGAAGCGATACTCATATCTAACGTGTAATAGCAGCACATTTTATGAAGATTTGCTTGCAATATATTACATAAAAAGGTGGGATGCAAAATTGTACCACATGGAGCTCACATTATAACTCTCACACAGCCAGATGAGGTGGCTTAGGCTTATAATCCCAGCTACTGAAAAGGCTGAGGCAGGAGGATCGCTTGAGCCCAGGAGGTCAAGACTGCAGTGAGCTATGATTCTGCCATTGTACTCCAGCCTGAGTGACACAGCAAGAACCTGTCTCTTTAAAAAAAAAAAAAAAAAAAAAAGGCCAGGCGTGGTGGCTCATTCCTATAATCCCAGAACTTTGGGAGGCTGAGGCTGCTGGATCACCTGAGGTCGGGAGTTTGAGACCAGCCTAACCAACATGGAGAAATCCTGCCTCTACTAAAAATACAAAATTAGCCAGGTGTGGTAGCGCATGCCAGTAATTCCAGCTACTCGGGAGGCTGAGGCAGGAGAATCACTTGAACCCAGGAGGTGGAGGTTCCAGTGAGCCAAGATCACGCCATTAAACTCCAGCCTGGGCAACAAGAGTGAAACTGTGTCTCAAAAAAAAAGGAAAAAAAAAAGAAAAGAAAAAAGAAACTCATTAATTATTATTATTTTTTTTTTTTTGGAGAAAAGGTCTTGCTCACTCTGTCACTCAGGCTGGTCTACAGTGGCACAAACCTGGATCACTGTAGCCTCGACTTCCTTGGCTCATGTGATCCTGCCTACTTAGCCTCCCAAGCACCTGGGACTACAGGTGCAAGCCACCACACCCAGCTAATTTGTTCTTTGGTAGAGACACGGTCTTGTTATGTTTGTCTGGGCTGGTCTCAAACTCCCAGGTTCAAGTGATCCTCCTGACTCGGCCTCCCAAAGTGCTGGAATTAGAGACATGAGCCATGGTACCTAGCCACTGATTCTTTTGGTAAAGACCGGAAGAAAAAATAAGTTATAGGTTATTGGTGATTGTTCCTTTTTTCTTAATTTCCTAAATTTTAGGTGTGGTGGGCAGAATAATGGCTCTCAAAGATGTCCACATCCTGATCCCTGGAACCTGTGACTCTTGTGCGCCAAGAGTCTTGGGCGCAGTGGCTCATGCCTGTAATCCCAGCACTTTGGGAGGTCGAGGCGGGCAGATCACAAAGTCAGGAGATTGAGACCATCCTGGCTAACACGGTGAAACCCCGCCACTAAACATACAAAAAATTAGCCAGGCATGGTAGCGGGCGCCTACAGTCCCAGCTACTTGGTAGGCTGAGGCAGGAGAATGGCATGAACCCAGGAGGCAGAGCTTGCAGTGAGCCGAGACTGTGCCACTGCACTCCAGCCTGGGCAACTGAGCGAGAGTCCATCTCAGAGTACAGTTTTTTTTTTTTTTTTTAATTATTATTATACTTTAAGTTCTAGGGTACATGTGCATAATGTGCAGGTTTGTTACATATGTATTCTTGTGCCATGTTGGCGTGCTGCACCCATCAACTCGTCAGCACCTATCAACTCGTCATTTACATCAGGTATAACTCCCAATGCAATCCCTCCCACCCAGAGCACAGTTTCTATATAAGACAATGAATACTTCTGAAAATGATTAGTTGGGATGATTACTCCATCATTATAAATGTAATTAATAGCACTGAACTGTACACTTTAAAAATGGTAAAAAAAAAAAAAAAAAAAAAATGGTTGAAACGCCAAATGTGTGTGTATAAAACCACAATGAAAATAATTTTATTTAGAGGTTTTTTTTTTTGAGACAGAGTCTCACACTATGTTTCCCAGGCTGGTCTTGAACTCCTAAACTTAAGTGATCATCCTTCCTTCTCAGCCACTAGAGACTGCCAGGGACTACAGTACACCCCCCATCACACCCTGCTTATTTTAGAATGTTTTCAGGGCATATGCCAGTTCATGATTCATTTAACACCTAAAATGAATCATGAACCTACATTCTGACAACAATCTTAAGATGCATTCTGATATCACACATACTAAATACAGAGAAGAATGCTTCCTGGAATTGTTAGACACAATCAATATTCGTTAAAATACTCTTGAGATTGGTATAACCAAGCGACAGTTGTTTGTGATAAAATAAGGGGCATATGCCATAACGTAAACTGTATCACCAAGCCAACATTTCGAGTCAGCTGTCATCCCTCCATAACCAAGATCTCAAAAAAAAAAAAAAGGTTGTCCATTTGCATTCTAACACAGGCTTCTCTTGTAACAAACTAGAGTACACTGGGTAGTACTGCTCTACAACAGGTAACAACCTGTTATAGAGCATATTAAAAACTTCATTTAATATGCTACTTCTCAGCCCTGGGTCCGGCCAATCCATACCCAGCTACTAAGTTTGTCTTCCAACATAGGAAATAATTTGAGTAATTTTTTTTCTTTTTTCTTTTTTTTGAGACAGAGTCTTGTTCTTGTCGCCCAGGCTGTGGTGCAATGGCGTGATCTCGGCTCACTGCAACCTCTGCCTCCTAGGTTCAAGCAATTCTCCTGCCTCAGCCTTCCAAGAAGCTGGGATTACAGGTGCCTGCCACCATGCCCAGCTAATTTTCTTACTTTAGTAGAGACAAGGTTTCACACCATGTTGGCCAGGCTGGTCTTGAACTCCTGACCTCAGGTGATCCGCTGACCTCAACCTCCCAAAGTGCTGGGATTACAGGTGTGAGCCATCGCGCCTGGCCAAAAAACTAAAATATGAAATGCTGTCAAAGTGCAGTGTGGTTCAAATGATCCAAACACGTCAGGAGGCCCAGGCCAGAGGATCACTTGAGCCCAAAAGTTTGAAACCAGCCTGAGCAACATGGCAAGACCCTGTTTCTTCAAAAAATTTAAAAATTAGCTGGGAGTGGTGGCATGCACCTGTAGTCCTAGCTACTCAGGAAACTGGGGAGAAAAGACTGCTTGAGCACAGCAGGTCAAGGCTACAGTGATCTGTGATTATCTCACTGCACTCCAGCCCTGGCAACAGAGTGAGACCTTATCTCAAAAACAAGGCCGGGTGTGGTGGCTCACGACTGTAATCTCAGCACTTTGGAAGGCTGAGGTAGGAGGATCACCTGAGGTCAGGAGTTCAAGACTAGCCTGGCCAACATGATGAAACCCCATCTCTACCAAAAATATAAAAAGTAGCTGAGTGTGCTGGCAGGCTCCTGTAATCCCAGCTACTCAGGAGGCTGAGGCAGGAGAATCACTTGAACCTGGGAGGTGGAGTCTGCAGTGAGCCGAGATCATGCCATTGCACTCCAGCCTGGTGATAGAGACTCCATCTCAAAAACAAAACAAAACAAAACAAAAGGCAAAATCATTACATTTCAAACACAAGAAGAAAAGATAGGATGACAGTCTTGAGAAAACTGTACCAATGTTAATGAAGGCAAAGTTAAAAAAAAGGTCCTGAGAACATCTGACTCAACGTAGTAAGTAGCAGTCACAGAACACAACAGCAGTATGCCATGCAACAAGAGGCTTTAAACACCATCAATAATCAAACTCTTAACCAACAAAAAAATTACCTGTGATGCCTGTACTATGATTGGCACTCCTAAAACTCGTTGGCCCGTTAATCCTATTGCTAGAGGCACTGAGCTAACATCAACGAACTCCACATAAGCAATTCCTTTGGAACGTCTTGAATTTCTGTCAGATATCATTCTCACATCTCAAACCTACGAAGAAAACACAGTTCTGTTTGTGCAACCATCCACTGTAAGCCATGTAGATATATTTCAAGTAGACATTAATGTTGAAGGATGAAGGCATTTTTAAAAATTTAATTGAGGCCAGGCACGGTGGCTCACGCCTGCAATCCTAGCACTTTGGGAGGCCAAGGCAGGCGGATCACGAGGTCAGGAGATCGAGACCATCCTGGCTAACACAGTGAAACCCCATCTCTACTAAAAATACAAAAAATTAGCTGGGCATGGTGGTGCGTGCCTGTAGTCCCAGCTACTCGGAGGCTGAGGCAGGAGAATGGTGTGAACCCAGGAGGCAGAGCTTGCAGTGAGCCGAGATGGTGCCACTGCACTCCAGCCTGGGCGACAAAGCAAGACTCCGTCTCAAAAAAAAAAAAAAAAAAAAAAAAAATTTCATTGAAAAAGTAAATCTGTGGGACAATTCCTATATCCTATCTATATCTTTGAACCAATTTGTAGTAACATTTATCAACTTCAATACTATAAGATGCAAAATTTGTTTGTGGAAACATTACCATAAATAAATACTGGTACTAAATCAAATGAAATATTTGATGTTTAGATGTTTTCTCTTGTAATTTCTACCTACTTGAACTCCCTAAACAGGTTAAGATTACCTTTCCTACTGTAGAGAAAAACTCTTCCAAATCCCTTGGTCGAATTCTTGCCGCCAGCTGCATACAGAAGACTGTCCTTGCATCTCTTTCCTCAGGAGTTAAATTATCAATAGGTTCCCTAATAGAAGTAAAAAATATAAAATTAACTTCGTAACAGATTTTAAAATAATTTTTGTCTTTTTTATTTCTTCATATAGTTCAACAGTTTTTCAGGTGGTTTTTGGTTACATAGATGAGTTCTTTAGTGGTAAATTCTGAGTGTACCTGTCACCTGAGCAGTATACACTGTACCCTCAACTCCTTTCCCAACTCCACACCAATATTTTCATCTTTAGAAATCGGGTCTTGCTATGTTGCACAGGTTGGTCTTGAACTACTGAGCTCAAGCAATCCCTTTGTCCTAAACACCCCCATAGAGAAGGGGTTTCACCATGTTAGCTAGGCTGGTCTCAAACTCCTGACCTCAGATTATCCACCTGCCTTGGCCTCCCAAAGTGGTGGGATAACAGGTGTGAGCCACCACGCCTGGCCTAAAATAATTCTCAAACATGTTCAGCAAACAGAATAAGCTGGCCGGGCGCAGCGGCTCAAGCCTGTAATCCCAGCACTTTAGGAGGCCAAGACAGGCTGATCATGAGGTCAGGAGATCGAGATCATCCTGGCTAACATGGTGAAACCCCGTCTCTACTAAAAAAATACAAAAAACTAGCCGGGCGAGGTGGCGGGCGCCTGTAGTCCCAGCTACTCGGGAGGCTGAGGCAGGAGAATGGCGTAAACCCGGGAGGCGGAGCTTGCAGTGAGCTGAGATCCAACCACTGCACCCCAGCCTGGGCGACAGTGCAAGACTCCGTCTCAAAAAAAAAAACAAAAAACCAGAATAGGCTATGAAACTAGTTTGTCATATACCCAAGAACATTTTCCTTTCTTTTCTTTTATTTTTTTCCAGATGAAGACACTATGTTGGCCAGGCTGGTTTCAAACTTCTGACCTCAGGTGATCTGCCCGCCTCAGCCTCCCAAAGTACTGGGATTACAGGCGTGAGGCACCACACCCAGTCAGCCCAAGCCCATTTGCAGTAAGATCTATTGACCAAAAACGTCCATAAAGCTCAATGTAACTCAAATCCTTCTAAAGAATAAGGTTTACTGTTTCTTGTAATCACATCTTACATGTTAGTACAGAAGTCTACTGGCCTTACAATCTCACAAAGGGTAAAATTTTTCTTTTCTTTTTTTCTTTTTGAAATGGAATCTCACCGTCGCCCAGGCTGGAGTGCAGTGGTGCAATCTCGGCTAACTGCAACCTCTACCTCCAGGGCTCGAGCAATTCTCCTGCCTCAGACTCCCAAGTAGCTGGCACTACAGGCATGTGCCACCAAGCCTGGCTAATCTTCTGTATTTTTAGTAGAGATAGGATTTCAATGTGTTAGCTAGGATGGTCTCGATCTCCTGACCTTGATGATCTGCCTACCTCAGCCTCCCAAAGTACTGGGATTGCAGGCTTCAGCCACCACGCCTGGCCCAAAAGGGGTAATTTTTCTAAAGCAAGGGTCAACCAGAAGCCTGACAGTTTAACCACAGTCATAAAACATATCACCAGACCAATCACAAATGCCAGACTGATCCAAAATCAGTGTAATGGATGATCATTTACAACAAAACCATGTAATTGTAAAGTGAAATTAAGTTTGACAATCACAAATGGCAAACTTGAAGTGAAACCCTCAATGATTCTAAGAATTCTACTTTACAAATTGAGATACAGCGTCTATTAAGATCATCTCTGTTGCAAAATATCAATTAATATTTTAAGCCAATCCTTTAAGATGTAAGCCTAAACATGTTCTTTTCCATTTTTTGGACACTCTCAGGATGTATGGAGGATGAGGGGTGGTCACTTCACCTGTAAGATTTGTCACAAAAGCTTTTTGAGACGCAGTCTCACTCTGTCACCCAGGCTGGAGTGTAGTGGTGTGATCTTGGCTCATTGCAACCTCCAGCTCCTGGATTCAAGCAATTATCCTGCCTCTCCTCCCGAGTAACTGGGATTACAGGCACGTACCACCACATCTGGCTAATTTTTGTACTTTTAGTAGAGATGGGGTTTCACCATGTTCGTCAGGCTGGTTTCAATATCCTGACCTTATTGCTACAGGTGTGAGCCACCACGCCAGGCACAAAGCTTTTAAGGCCGGGAGTAGTGTGCAGACTGCTTGGCCCTGGATTTCAGACCAAACTGAACAACATGGCAAAACCTTGTCTCTTCAAAAAAAAAAAAAAATAGAAAAATTAGCAGGGCATGGTGGCTGCACCTGTATAGTCCCAGCTACTCAGGAGGCTAAGTTGGGTGGGATAGCTTATGACCAGCCGTTAGAAACTGCAGTGAGCCATGATTTCGTCACTGCACTCTAGCCTGGGTGACAAAGTGAAATCCCGCCTCAAAATAAAAAAGCAAAAGCTTTTTGGCCGGGCGTCTCAAAAAAGAACAAATAAATAACCACAATGCTACCACCTGACAAAATATTCCTTGAACCAAAATGGTAGACTGAACAAATACAAGTCTCGCTCTGTCACCAGGCTAGAGTGCAGTGGCGCGATCTCAGTTCACTGCACCTTCGCCTCCCAGGTTCAAGTGATTCTCTCGCTTCAGCATCCCAAGTAGCTGGGACTACAGGTGTGCACCACCATGCCCAGTTAAATTTTGTATTTTCAGTAGAGACAGGATTTCACCATGTTGGCCAGACTGGTCTCGATCTCCTGACCCCGTGTCATCCACCCACCTCAGCCTCCCAAAGGGCTGGGATTACAGGCGTGAGCCACCACGCTCAGCCTACAATTCTTATTTTTAAAGAATAAAATAATCCATGTAAACATTTAAGAACCTAGGAGTAACAATTCAAATCACTAAGACTTTTGAGATGAAACAGTTTTCCTCAGGACAGCCAAACAGTAAAACTTACTCTTACAACTACTTCTCCACATGAGGTATTTCAAATAACTCATTATTTATTAATACCAAAGATAAATAAGTGTAAAGTGTTCTGTAACTGCTACGTTGCCAACACAAAGAAATGTATGACACGAATATGCTAATTACCCAGATTTGATCATTACACTGCATACATGTATCAAAATACAACTGTATCCCATAAATATACACAATCATATGTCCATTAAAAATAAGAAATGCAAAAAAAGCTTATTTTAATCAAAATAGGAAAATAAGATCACATTAAAATAACTTTAGGTTGGACGTGGTGGCTCCTGCTTGTAATCCCAGCACTTTGGGAGGCTGAGGCAGGCAGATCATGAGGTAGGTCAGGCATTCAACACTAGCCTGACCAACATGGTGAAACCCTGTCTCTACTAAAAACACAAAAATTTGCCGGGCATGGTGGCACATGCCTGTATAATCCCAGGTACACTTGGTAGGCTGAAGCAGGAGAATCACTTGAACCCAGGAGGCGGAGGTTGCAGTAAGCCAAGATTGCACTACTGCACTCCAGTCTGGGTGACTGAGTGAGACTCTTGTCTCAAAATAAATAAATAAATAAATAAATAAATAAATAAATAAATAAATAACTTTTGCTTCTTTTTAATTATATGAAATTAAAGTGAAAACTACTAAAAACTCAGTAGAAATTCACTTGACTAATTTAAAGTACTAGAACTGTAAAAGGAAGCAAAAGCAAGATTTAATATGGTCCAAATTACTAAATACCATCAAAGTTAACAGTACCATAAGCTGCAAAAGCTTTTTAAGAGCTAAAGGCTTTAAAGAAGAAAACTACCTCACAGGGCTCTTGTCTTTTCTGAATGGACTTTTGCTTTGGGAACGTCGTCTACTGCAAAGTTAAAAAGTTTCAGAAGTTATCCAAATAAGTACAGCATGTTACTTCCTTGAAAAACAATTTAAACAATTCAGAAGTATGTTTAAAAACCTTAATTTGATGCTATGAGGCAACCCAATCTTTCCTCGGATGGCACTGTTAAATTTTGGTCCGGAGCTAAAAAGGAAACACAAAATTACACTAGTTACAGGTTTAGGGTCTTGCTAAGATCGCATTCATGCGCTCTCCAGCAAGACTAACATTGTTTAGGCTGCTGCTTTTCCACCTCAGTTATGAAGAGGAAACAAAAATACTTAGATGTCTCTTAACTTTATCCCAGGCAAGCTGCCCTTGTATTTATCCATCCTGGACCACTGAGAGGTGCCAAGACCAAAGGTTACAGCCTCAAAATTTTTAGATTCTGAAAATGAACACACCCATTTTCAGACTATAAATATCTTTGTAAGCTATATATATATGTATATATATATACAGTCTTGAGAATTTAAAAAAAAAACAAAAAACAAAAACAAAAAACACACACACATATAAAAAATAAATCCCTCTGAACTTTCCTCACACCAGCAGTAACTATGGTTAACAATTTGGTGTGTATCCTCTCCTGGAAATGTATGTGTGTACATGTATGTACACAATTTTCATACAAGTCTTCTTTTTGAAAGGCTTTTAAAAACTAAAGTGAATTCTTTAGTCATGCAACTTAGGTATTCTCCCATTCACCAGTAACTCTTGGACAGCATGACACCACTTAACACACTATACTTCAGTTGTTTGTTGCAAAATATTCCATCGTGAAGATCTGAAGGTAATTTACGAATTCTATTGAAAAATTTTAAGGACTTGTCATGACTAACAGAGTGTTTTCAAAAAGATCACAAAGGTAATTATTCTGTAATAACAGTTTTTGTGACTCTTTAAAGACCAGGCTAACTTAAAGGGACTAGCCAGTTGTCCCTTAGTGCTCATCCTGCTATCTTATTCCAGAAGAACAGCAAAATAAATAAATATGTAGCGGCCTGTGATCCACACATTTGAATTAGTTTTCATGAACACTATGCCTACCTACAACATGCAAGTATTTCCAAATAAAACACTTTATATTAAATTGGTCCTTTGCAATTCAGACTAATGGTGATGACTGAGAATCATTTACTGGATGTATTAAAGTTCTCAAGTAATTAGTTATAAGCTATTTTCTTTCCCCTTTAATTATAAAATATTCTCAGTTACAGCCTCAAACCCAACATAAGAACTAAGTAATTTTCTATTAAAGTTAGGCCAGGATCCCAGTAAACAGAAAGTATTCATCACTCAAAAGGAATTAAGCTAATTCCTTTCCCCTCATTTAGTTCATACAGGTAAAAAGATTTAACATAATCCCATTTTAAGAATGCTCAGAATCTTGATAAATGGGACAAAAGCAGAGAATTTCCTAATGCTGCACAGCATTCAGAATTAAAATAGCATTGTGGTCCCATTTTCGGCTATTAAAAAGTTAATGAAATAAGCAGCTTGGAGGAATCCAGCATCATGCAGTTTAATTCTTTTTATTTTAAAGATAAAAGAGCCAGAATCAGAATTCATGTAATGCCAAAACATTTCATGAATCCATTAAGTCCTCTGAGCACTTTCATTTTCTTCTCATTCATTACTCATTAATAGCTTATCTGAAACTTGTTATCTCCTTAAAATGTTAGAAAACAAATGCTTAGCTTAGGGGGTTAAGTACCTTGCCCAAGTGATTCAAGTCTGTCTGTCTTTGAATTCCATCCTTAACCATTCAAATCTTAAAGTTAGAACGGCTATTTTTAATATATCCCAGAGTTTACAGCAGTGTGTTTATTAAGATGAATTAACCTCACAAAGCATTAAAGATTGCTATTCAATCCTTAGAACTGTAGGTGATTAATATATTTAATAACTGTAATAAATTTATTTCCAACTTTAAATATCCACATCCAAATTTCTAGTGACCTAATCTTCAAAACACTTTTAATTTAGAATACCTTTTACTATTAACAAACCTTAAATACAGATGAGCCCAAAAAAGAATCTTTATCAAGGAGCATACACAACAAATTCACAACTGGCCTGACATTTCAGCTAAAAACAGCCACAGTGACAAGATTTTTTACTTACTGTTAACTATACATGTGTAACTTTGTATTCATCAGAACTTTACAATTTTAAGTAAATATGTATTTAGCAAATACTGTAACAGCCCAGACACTGTTAAGCTTTCTCAAGTATTTGGGCACTACAATGTCATCTTTTTCAAGCACTCTAGTGCTTTCATCCAGTTTGCGCTGATGAGCATACAATTTAGAAACTTTGATAGTTTAACAGAAAATAATTGGTATGACTAGTAAAAGCAAATTTTTACTTGTCTATGCACTGTACTTTTCACTTTACTAGCATTCAATGCCAATATCCTTAATTCAATACTTTTTAACCAATCATTAAAAAAAATTTCACAATTCAAATCACTGAAGTTAATTGCTATATGAATACCCAGAGAATAACCCTCAAACCAAAATCGTAACTATAGTTACATACTAAGGACTTCTGTAGCGGCCTCTAAATCTTCGATCTCGACTTCTTGAGCGGCTCCGTCGCCTCTCTTTGCTTCTACTTCGCTTTCTTTCACGGCTTTTACTCTTTTTCCTTTCTCTATCTCTACTTCGCTTCCGTTCCTTACTTTTGCTTCTCTTTCGTTCATGACTACGACTTCTGCTCTTGCTTTTTTTCCTCCTGAGAAGTTAACAAATTCGCCATTATCATGCTTGCTTAAGAACCCACCATAATATACTACCTTTTATGGTCAGAATCATATTTTTATCCTTTCATATTTTTGGCTAGTTTTACTATGATACAATGCTACATAATTACACTTAAAAAAAAAAAAAAATCTGTAATCCCAGCACCCTGGTAGGCCAAGGCAGGTGGATCACAAGGTCAGGAGCTGAAGACCAGCCTGGCCAATGTGGTGAAACTCTGTCCCTAACAAAAATATAAAAATTAGCCGGGCATGGTACCGTGCACCTGAGTCCCAGCTACTAGGGAGGCTAAGGCAGGAGAACTGGGAGGCTAAGGCAGGAGAACTGCTCGAAGCCGGGAGGCGGAGGTTGCAATGAGCCAAGATTCTGACACTGCACTCCAGCCTGGGCGACAGAGTAAGACTCTGTCCAAAAAAAAAAAAAAAATTGCTACGTATGGTAAGCAATATCCCTTTTGCCTTATATTAACATTACTGAAAATCAGCAGACAAGACATTACTTGAAAGACACCATCCTCTACGACTAGGAACTGCAACGATCTCCTGAGTTAGCTACAGCTTCAACAAGGAAAAGGGCTTGTTGGCAATACAAATCAAAATGTGAACCTTTAAATGTAGTTTGTCATATAAAAGGCCAACAAAAGCATTACTGTAATCTGCAAGATACATTAATAAAACAAACTTACAATACAATATGTTCACATTTAAGTACTACTACTGGTTCATTTATAAAAATTTTCATCAAATATAGTAATTTACCATTAAGTCCATTTTGCCCCCATTTACATATGGAAATATTTAATACGTTCAAAGGGTCACATAGACAGCAACATTTTGGTTTTCATGGGCAAAACCGTAATGACAAAGGACAGTAAGAATTAATGAAGGCCAGTGCAGTGGCTCACGCCTGTAATCCCAACCCTTTGG